TTCCTGCTGCTGTTCTGTGGTTAGCTGACAGGAATAACATCATTTTGCTTTTGACATCAAGGCTTGTTTCCCCATTGCAAGACACAAATGGTTTGGAGTCACTTTTAAAATGAATTTGAGCAGCTGGGTTGGGAACATCTTCAGAAATCTGATCCAACTTACTTAAGTCCTATTGGCAAATATCTGTTCCTGTTCATACAGAAACCTCAATGTGATGTGATGCCTGAAATCTGACAGCACTGACTACCTGTGGTTCAGTTAGAGAGTCGCAGGAGCTGGTAGTGGATTTGTTACAGAGTGACAAGCTACTGAGACCTGTCACTATCCATGACGTGAAGGTGGAGATGAGGCAACAATCAAGTATGGGGGTAGCATATTAACACAAACCGGACTGATAATAAATTAACTTTACAGGAAAATGTTGTTTTTTATTCTTTATAAGGCTCGGCTCTACAACAGCACGTTCCAGCAAGAGGCCGGTAGCAGTTTGCATCCTTCACTGCCTTGGTGCAAGTAGGTTGCAAAAAAACATCCTCTTTAGAAGTGAGCTGCCCGGAGAGAGTAATTGAAGGGTGTCTGGAGACTAAATGACGTTCTTTCAAACAACAACCCTTACAACCCTTCCCACACTGGACTCAAAAGCAGCTACACCTGATGTAGCATCTCATTAAACTGTAACGTATTATGAGGAGCCGTGTTGTGCTCACAGATTTCAGACTGTATAATAATCTGCACTGACTTTGCCACCGTCTTTGGCCACCAGGACTGAAGCAGAGAGCTAGTGCTGCCTTTACAAACCACCCTGGATTGCTTTGAGCATTCTTCAACTAGTTTTTGTACTTTTATCGTGACGTACTGTACATTATGTTACATCTGGCCCTGCTGTGTCCTGGTTTTAGTAGAGTACTATTTATTGATACAACAGTGTGATCTGTAATGAGGAAATCCCTTAAATCAGTTTTAAAAAAAGTCTGTAAAGAATTACCCAGTTTGATTTTAATTTTAAGGAGCGTCTGCTGGGTCTACTGTATAAATGAAATGGGCACAAATTCTTGTCAGAATGTCTCGACAGCAATGACTCTGCAAAAAATGGATGTTCCAGACCAGCTCATTCCCAAATGACAGGAGCCAAAATATTAGATGAGAATAAATTCTGACTTATAAGAAGGTGCACTGTATGTGATAAACAGGTGACTATGGTATATAATAATCACTTCTGGGCACAGCAAATTACAGTTCAGCTCAGAGTAATAGTTGAGCCACATTATACATATTCATCCATCCATCTATTTATTAACTGGTCACTGCTCCTAACTGAAGAAACAGCCCAGCACATAATCAATGTAAACCCAGCTAGCTTTAGAGGTCTTGGTTGGTGTATTTTATTATTGTGCCTTTGGTCAGGCCCGTCTAATTGTTTCCAGTGTTTTCTGGCTGTAGCTGCATGTTTACTGTAAAAATATAAGAAAGCCTTTCCAAAATGCTGCCTTTAAGTGGCACATGGCCCAGCAGTAACAACTGACAGTCTGGAAGTGTTAAAAAGGGCAAAGTGTGCAGTCTGATTATGCCCAGCTCTTAAACAAACAAATAACTGGAGCAAACAGAAGTCTGTGGAAATCATCAGGGGAAACGGACCAAGCCTGTGGTGAGTAGTTTTTAGTTCTCAGTAAAGAACAGATAAAGGACACAGACCCATTTTTTATATCACCATTATTCTGTGAAATAAGAAAAAAAAATACAAGAAAGCATGAAAAAGTAAAAAAAAAAAAATCCACACAATCAATTAAAAAACACAAGACTAAAAAGTGCTATTCACACAAGGGAGTGAATCACAAATATCAAATCTTGCAATTGTGTCACCTTGGGAGGAAAACACACATTTAGAGACAAAAAGTTGAAATTCAGTGCTGACAGAACTATTCCCACTCACTTTAGTTCCACGTCTCCTGAAATATTAGGCTTGAATTACAGTCACCATTCCATCTACAGGGTGTTCAGTTGCAGAAATGTCAAGTGCAGGTTTCCATGTACAGGTACACCGTTGGACCCTGCACCATTACTGATACACTGTATCAGTTTGGGAACAACTGAATCCAGAGGCGTTCTTACCTCTTTCAGTATTTGGTACTCCTAAATTAATGGTTGGTATTGATGGATCACCATGGTCACTGTAGTACTCTAAATATAAGGCATCCTTTTCCCAGGTCTTCTTTATCACTGGAACTAAAGAAAAGGGGAGAAAAATCAATATGCAAGTTTCAGAACAAGCAGACCTCTGGTTGTGAGGAAACCATTATTCTATATTTATTGTAATGCATGTTTCCTTTGATGCCTCTGTCTGCTTTGGTAAAATATTCTCTTATAGTAAATACCACTGAACGGTCAAGATTACCATTTTGTCCTTGTGGGAAAAACCTTTTTATTCCAGCTCAGCTAAAATGAATACATGAAAAACTTTTAAATTCTAAGCTGCAAAACAAAAAGCATTTTCTTTTTTTCAGCAATGAACTTTCAGTCTCAAGAAAACATTTTGCAACTGTCTTTAAAAAACAGGAGAGAGGTAGTACAGATGGGCAGAGCACTTCATCTCTATGTACGTTTTCATTCTGTTCATACACTTTGTCTAAGTTATAATCATACAACAATGATGTCTTGCTAATTCCTGGAAACATGTTTTGCTATAGATCTTACTGGGATCTGATCATTGTGATCTGGGGTTTTTTTGTCCTGAATGAGTTGCGAAGGCTGAAATATAGAATTCTCAAAGAATTCTATACCACTTATTCTTGAATAGGGTCACTGGGGGGCTGGAGGCAATTCCAGCTGACATTGGGCAAGACAGAGGCCCTGGGTCAGCGCAGGCTTGGCCCGGGCTCAAACCCTTCTTGCTGTGAGGCGACAGCGCTAACCGCCGCCTCGCTGTGCCGCCCCTTGCATTGTTAACAGAAATAGATAAAGAACTGGATGAACCTTTGTATGTTTGTAAAAAAATCTGTGTGTAATGTAGCAGAGACACAGCACTATTCATAACAGCACTTTATACAAAACATATTGTTATATGCTATTTATAGCTTTTTCCATTTACTTTTCTATTATTTATCCCAAGTTGGAATTAAATCTGTATCATTTGTTTTGTTTTCTTTTTTGTTTTATGAATATTTGAAAAAGCTTGGCACCAGTATGTGTAAGTTATTGTTGATTGAAAAAACAAAACAAAAGCAAAAAAAAAACAAAAACGTGCAACTGACCATGAACCATTTCACACTTACTTTTTGTGTTTTAATTGTGCGAAATCTGTAGAGAAACAACTTAAAATGCAGTAACTATGGATGTCTGTGTTTTCTTTTTGAGGTAGTTCGGGGTAGTTATTACTACTGTTAAGACTAAAATTACCGCCGCCTGTCATCGGCTTAATATAGCCAACTTCAGCTACCGTTAAAAATAGTAAAGAAAAACTCACCAGATAGAATTTTTCACTTATATTTTAATTTCCATACTATTATCATTGTTCTGCCATATATAATCACAAATTAAAAATGTCTTGGCAACACTGCTAATTAAATATGAGGCTCTTTCATGTCTGTTGCTTATTGATCTAAGCTGATCTTTGATATACAAATCTAATTTTCATGGTCATCTTGTCTACATTTGAAACTGATAATTGCAGCTTGGTTGAGGGAATGGTGACTAAGGTAATCAGTGCAGCTGCTTTTGCGCGTCAGCTGATGAATGTAGCACACAATTTGTCTGATCCCTCTAAAATTAATCTGCAATTTGATTGACGAACTAAACTTGTTACACTCTTATTAAGTTGCAAGAGCTTTACTGTAGATAGCTTGATGTCAGGCTGAGCTTGCCAGTAAATGGCTAAACATCAGTAAGTGATTTCTTAACATGTGCAGGGTTGCTGGATGATTTCCAGCATCAAGGGGGTCACAAGATTAAGTACCTCAGGGTATTTCAATCCAGTCAAATCCTTTCACACATGATGGTGGAATAAATTATCATGATCATTACGAATAGCTCTGATACAGTCCCACGTGTCAAAGGTAAAAAAAAAACATCCATTATGAGCAAACAACAAAAATGCATGGCATTTAAAGGGAAATTGCGTGCAGATTCGGTGTGAGTGGGAGTGTGACTCACCTCTTTCACTGTGAAACTTCTTACATGTTTTCACAGCAACAAATATATCTCCTTTATTTACAGCCTCCCCCTTTGATGAAAATAAGAGACTTGAATCAAAGAAATGCCTGTTTGAACCAACCACATCAATCACATGTAATTAAAAAAAATTATCTATATTAAATGCAGTGAAATGGTTGAAATTCAGTCTTTTTTTTCAGGCTTTACTACTGTAAGTGTCCAAGTGATCACTGGGAGCTGTTATCTTCAAAGTGAAATTATAATTTAATATTTCCAGAAATGGTGTACAAACATCTGTGGGATGTGAAAGCTCTGGAAACAAAACATCTGGGTGCCTCGCTGTGTCCTTTGCTACCACATACTATCCAAAACAGAAGAAGCTGGAATGTGAAATATCTTGTGCTCTAGCAGTCACACAAAAAGATTCACTAAATCAATAACAGAATACATTAAAAATGTATGCTACATTTAAATGTCCTCAGCTGCTGCACAAACCAAGAACATTTATAGGCGGGATGAGATGTACAGAAAATGCCAGAAAAGAGAAAATGTTCAACACAGTCTCCCAGAGCCAAAAGTGGCATCTTCAAATTGTTTTTCATCCAACCACTAGTCCTAAAAATAAACTAACAAACAAAACAACTAATTCGCAGATTTGAGAATCTGAAGCTAACAAGTCTTAAGCTTTTTTGCTCAGAAGAACAATTAATCCTTTATAAAAACTGTTGTCTATTTTTACTGCAGCATCAGGATGCAGTGACTAGCAACATGCCATTCGTACTGTATTTTATGGTGCTAAACACATGTTTTGTTGGCTTGACATTCAAAAAACCTCATGCAGACTCAAAGTAGATTATTATGAGTCTTAATGATCACTTTCATGTTACTTCACTGCACTGTCTTTTTTGTCTGTGTTATTGGTTTGGAAAATGACTCATGTCTGATGCGGATTTGAAGAAGCCCTCTGCACAGAGGAACAACACCTCAGTAAGTGTAGTTATAGCCTAAAATAAAAGTGACATTTGTTACTGCTGCGGCCTCTTTGGTGACTGCCGTCCTTCGCATCCTTGAATCTGCCTCTCGAGGCTCTTGTTTCGTTGTTGACACTGCAGCCAAGTGCAGCTGTGGCCCCACTTGGCAATTTGTCTCGCAACTGTTTCGAACACTGGTTGATTACAATCCGTCCACTCTTATTTCGTCTGAATAGAAACCTCTACCTGAATACTTAATAAATGTGTGACCTTCGTGTTTCTCCACTAGCTGCTGGAGTTGTTGCCATGTTCTGGTCAAATGAATACAATTTTATGGAAGACAGCGATTTCCATTGAGAGGGAGGTAAAAGTGAATATACATCTGGCAGTTTCAGACTGCAACACATCTGTATCAGACATGTAGTATGTGACTGGAATCACAAATGTTCAGACTGAAACATAGGAGGGGAGGGGGAAACAGTCAGAACTGGGACACTTTCAGCTGCAGTTCTGGCACCCTAAATTTAACTCGCCTCACCCACTCCTTTAAAAAAATAAAACAAACACAAAAAACCCCTCCAGTACAGTAATGCACACATCCCTGCAACATCATTTCCTTTTCCCAACATTATTGATCATTTCTCGCTCTATCTGAGGTCAACAACTGCAAACAAGATACCAACCATATATCAGGTATCATATGGCAAAACACGCTTGTAATCGAACACACCAATATTGTCAGAACAGATGATACTGTACTGCAACAGTAAGAAATGTTACAATAAATTCAGAGGAGCACCAACGATCATGACCAAACTTTACTACATTAGTTCTTTCTAGATGCCACTGAAGCTACAGCTATTAGTTACTTTATGATCCAGTAATTTTATTTATTTTTTATCTTAGTCACATCCACTCACTGGGCCACTCAGATACATCACACCTGACCTTAAGATAATGTTAACTACTTCCTGCACAGTTATTTTCAGAAACTGCCTGTCTGACATTTGCACATAAAACCAACTTAATATATGTTTTAATTATATTGTTACAGCCTCAGCTGTTTGTTCCATTTGTGTTGCTGCTTTGTTGTGCAATGTGTGCAAGGTTAAGCCAGCAGTTAGCTGTGCAAACACCCTCCGCTGATTGGTCCAGCTGCAAGATTCCCTCCCATGGACTGGTTTAGCCTTTCTGCTGCCAGCCCAATCATGCTGCTGGCTCCCTCCTCTTACCACCCACCTGGCTAACAAACGTGTTTAAGAGGACAAAGGAGAAACTGAGAGCTGGTTAGTCACCAGATGCAGACAACACGAATCTGCATGTGAATCTTGATATTCTTGATCCAGATATGATGAAATCAAACAGATCAGGATGAGCCAAAGGCAGACAAACGTATAAGCCTGTAAAACTACTTTTAATGTTAATATTAACTGACATACAGGCAGTGTCTAGAATGGATAAGCTTTAACCTGTTTAGATAAATGTCAAAAATAGGTCAGATGGATGCTGAGAGGACACAGAAGGATGTTGCTTAGCAGCGGAAGAGTACTCCTTTCTTGTTGTATGCCTAAACTGAACTGAGTATAACAAAACCAACAAACTCTCTTCAGTCTTTGCGTTCCAGGGATTGACATATAAAAGACTTAATGTTGAAGATGTATGCCACTGTGAAATTTTGGTGCCGCTTTGTTTCGGTTGCGGGCATAAAGGCCAAATGTTGTAGATCACCACATAGCAACCAGGATCTCAGTGTGGAGCACCTTCTGCTTTTAATGTGTTATTTTATTTTGTACCCCTTTCATTTCCTGGGAACTGAGGACAATAAAACTGATCTGGGAGCATAGCAGACACTTACACAGAGTGGAGGCTTACTGCCCACAGTGGTGGCACAGTACAGGGCTTGAGGAGAGTCCACTGGGTCAGTGCACAGCTCAGGAACAGGAGTGAGATGTGGACCTTTTCCATTGTCCCAGATATACAATGCAATCTGCAATAACACAGAAGGATCTTGTCAGGTTTACAAGATGCAATCTTTCAGATATTAATGCTTTACTGAAACTCAACAGAAGAGATGTGGCATGCTTTCTGTTTTCCTTTCTAATAAATATAACACAGCACAATAAAACTCTCTTGTGCTCTCATAGCAAAACTCCTGTGAGCATATTTCATATTTAGGAGGATTGACAAAAGAAATAAAGAGGCGACCAGGGAGACACTGAGTTGTTGGTAAATATTACTGTACCTCCTTCCTAAGGTTTACTTATAGTATTCTATAGGGGGAAGACAGAGTTTACAGTAAAAGAATATGCAATGAGGACAGTACAGTCAGTGCTGTCTAAATACTGGCAACTGTCTGAAAGAATGGGAAACCACTGAAACTGTAAAACGTGATGTTTTGTCAGCTTATACCCTCAAGTTCTACTGACAGCGAACTGGATTGGCGTTGATGATTCAAGCAATGGTTGTTTGTACTTTCACACCTAAATAATAAGTTACATGTGGTAGAGTTTAAATGCACATTCATCTGCAAAAGTAAACAGTGAATCTGCTTTTAAACTACTTAAAAATCCTTAATTTAATTTGAAATCTCACAGAAAAAAATCGTATTGCATCATTGCATCCTCTTTTACATCCATTTTTAAAAACACATAAAAATGTAGAGTAATTTAATTAATTTAATTGAATCTCTGGGACTGAACCATGTATTCAAGACCTGATAACTCTGATGCCATGTTTACTAGACAAAATCGTCCTTGACTGAATTTTAGTGAGAAAAATAATCAATGTTGCACCGTGACAATTCTCCAAAGTAATGAGATCTTGTGTCAAGGTTAGATGGATTTCATAGATCGCTCTTTTAGTGCAAATAAATGTTAGTAGGTTGGTGCTGGCTTGAGTGTGAGAAACTAGAAAATGAATGAAAACCAGAAGTTTCTTTATGACTTTCCAGACAAAACATATGATCTTCATGTCATCTTACCTCATGTTTTAGGTCAATGGTGAAGTCAGATTTAAGTGGCTCGTCTCTCACTTTGTTTGCGAGGCTAAAATAATAAATAACAGATTTGTAGTTTGAATATGCAATAGATTCAAAACACAAGATCCCCAAATTAGGGAATATGGAATAACTAATACAGACTAAATTTGTCAATTTTAGAGACACAATTTTTTTTTACTGCTCATACTCACTAAACAACTAGGGGGGTGCTTAAGGCCCAAGCAGCAGCAAAGTCTGGATATTTAAAGATGGAGGGATTCTCAGCAAAGGCATAGTGATGGATGATCGTTGACTCCTCATCGTGGAGAGGCTTACCAAGAAACCACTCCTGACAAACAGATTGAACAGGACACGTTTAAACTTGTTAATAGTTTAATAAAAGGACAAATTACTTTGACATTTCATAAAAAGAAACATCTGGACTTCATAATTCTGGTAAAAACATTTGTTACTGGCTGGGAAATTTCTGTGATTTCTTTAGAGAAAGGTCAACAATGCCAGATATTGAAGGTATTTGTAGGCTCTCATCATAGTTCTTAACATAGCTTGAGTAAAAATCATTCTATTTTATCAGAAAATCCTTCAACTGTTCAGGTATGTGAAGCTTAAAGGAACAGTTCAACATTTTAAGAACATCTGCTGTCTTGTTGTTGTCGCTCTTATACACATCTGTATGGTAAATGTCAGGCTACAGCCAGCAGCTGGTTAGATTAGCTTAGCTCCAGCACCTGTAAAGCTTGCAATTTAACATTTCATATTTTGCTTATTTAATCCACAAGAACACAGAAATGGAACAACAACTGTTCAATATGTTTATTTTTTTTTTGGTCCATACACAGATGCATCTCAACCGGCTCCCTAGCAACTGCTCAGTGCCAATAACTAGAGCAAAGGAATAGTCTAAAATGTTTTTGCTTTAAATGTAATGAGGCTACCTTAGCTCATGTAGTCGTACTGCCAACAAAACATATACAGTTAATCAGCCACATCTAGCAACAACAGTCTAACACAACAGCTGTGCTACAAACTATACTGTCATACAGGTCAGGTTTGTTGAAACCATTTTAAAAAGGTGTTGATTCATTTCATGGCCGTTTTAGAGGCTGCAGCTCGTTGTACTGTTAAAGTGCATTGTGTTTTATTAAGAGGTGTTTCGAATATTTTATTCACATCATTTATTTTCTTATGGCAGACTAAATTTACTGTACTGTAGTCAAATGTACGTAATACTGTAAATCCAACTGAGTGTACGTTTGTAGAGTTTTAATGTAGAAGTTGTTTAAGAGCTGTATCTGTCAATAAGTCAGTGTATCACAAGATGTGTTAAGTTTAACTGCTGTCATATTTTGGTGTCACAGTGTTGGTGAACTCGTTTATGTGAGGACACTTCTAATTTTGTCTTGTGTCTTGCATCACAGGGCTGATCACACTGAGCTGTAACATCTGAGAGAGAACATGATGTTGTATCCACCCTCTCCTTCGGATAAGGTCATGGAAATTCACAGAGTAGTGAATTCCCTCCGTGACATGGAAATGAAATACTATACCGTGCAGTCTAAATAGTTTAAGATGACAACATAGTTAGATTCCCCTGATTGTTCTGCAGAGGTTTTCTGAGACTGATCAAAACAAACTTTGGCATTTGATGAAAAAATAAGTTACATTTTCCCTGAAAGCTTTACATTAAAGTGTAATTTGCATAAATGTTTGCCTCTGTTTCAATGGAAAGCCAGCTCAGACAGAAGAGAAAGATCTAACCATAAAACTGCCAGTTATCTGAATCATTTTAAAAAATTCCTAAATGAATTATTGATGGAGAAAGCTATTTTGCTAAGCTTTTTTTTTTCATTACAACACAAATGTATGACTTTCTGACCAGAGCGCTCATGCAGTTTTTATATTTGACCTAGCCTACCAACCCATATACAAGAAAAATAATTTAATGACTGGAGAGACAGGGCTTGAATTAGGTCACCAGCGACATGTCTGACAGGTTACACTGCGACTTGGCAGAGCTCAGTGCGGCTCAGCAGCTGCGGGGAAGCTGGAACCAGCCTGATACTGTATCTCTTAATTGAATGGATGATGAAATAAACTGGAGCTTGAAACAGGCAGTTCTGGTGTCACTGATGAATTTGGCAAAGTGAGGCAAAGCAAAAGAGAGAGACAGAGGAAAAGAGTGCGAGATGGATGTTTCAATTGAAAACTGTCTACTTACTTTATTCTTGCCAAACTTTGCAAGGACTTGAACAAGTTTAGTCATCTTCACATTTGTTTCCTCCTCAAGAAATACAATCCATGATGTGTTTTTCCCAAAGGAGGACGATAAACTGAGGACACACACACACACTTTAGTCAGAGGAGCTATCAAGCTGAGGCTCCTGACCCAGTCAGATCAAGGAAGCCACAGAATTTTACCTAGGGGACAGAAAGACTTCACATGCACACAGACCTCTTTCAGGAAGGGCAGCTTTGTAATGATTCGGGGGTCTTTTAATGATCTGTGTCCTAAATCTTTATGATGCAAAAGGAAAACCAATTTGGATTTATTTCTCATCTCTCTAAAACAAATATTGAACACACATTGGATTTTCGAGAAGGCCCAAGCACGCAGACGACTACAGCTAATGTCATTATCATGCTGTTCCACCCACTGAATAACTGCAGTAATAGGTTTATTGTCACAGTTATGAACAGATTAGGAAGGTATTTATGCGAAGCAATCAATCTCAGTTACTGTGCTAGTAATAACTTAACCTTTAACCATAAAACATGGCAAACAAAATGTCCTTACAAACCTACACTCACCGGCCACTTTATTAGGTACACCTGTACAATTGCATGCATTTCAATGCAACAATCCCATGTAGTGCCCACAAGTTCACGTAGACATTTTGAAGAGATGTTTTATTCTGAGGAGCTCAGAATATTCATAGTTAATAAACTAACTTTGATTCCAGGCATTGAGGAGCAGAATGGCTTTCACCAAGCTCCAGCACTATGCTCTGTGTAACTACAGGGGCCCTTTGCATGCACATACATGCTGCCTCCTGTATGACTTCCCTTACAGCTGGAAGAGTGTATGCCATCTCACTACCCACAAACACACAGAATGTAGTTCTGCTTTGTGTTTTAAAGACGTTTTAGTTTAAGGCCTTTATCACACCATCCTCTGCAAACAAGCCAGATGTGGACATCAGAAGGCCTAGTCTGTCTCCATGACGACAAGGGACAAACTCCCCCTCTCCTTGTGACTTTCACTGCATTAGAATACACATCTTTAACTCCACCTCTGACCTCCAAGACAGTAAAGCATGACACTCACCAGACAATTGGGCTCTGCTATATGATTGTTCCCATTATATTCAGAGGTGTTCCTAATATTTTGACCCTCTCATGTATGTAGCAGGCCAGGACAAAATATAGAAACACCTCTAAATATAATGTAGTGCAGTACAACACCACCTTTAACTATGACCTCAATAATAAACAAATAACTGAATTGATGTTATGCTTCTATGACGACTTCACCAAAAACTGAAACAGTTTGAGCTTCATAAACAGATGTTAAGGGGAAAGTGTTGCACTGGTTTGAATACAACTGTACAGATGTGCCTAATAAAGTGGCTGCTGAGTGCTTAGACTCCAAAATCTCAACTGTAGAAAGACATGTTTTCGATATTTTGTTCACACTTTAAACCCTTAAATCTTTGGTTAATCACATGTTCATTCAATCACCAAGAGTTCAGGGATACTTACGAAGGCAGCAGGGGAAGGATACTCCAGTCTCCCTCATTACCAGATAAACTGTGAAGAAGCAAAACCACCGGTGGTTTCTGAAAGAAGCACCAAAGAAACCAGAAATAATTCTCAGTAACAGCACACTAGCTGTGCAAAGCTAAAGGCAATTAAAAGCAGCTTTTCTGCAGTGAAGGTGAACCTGTTGTTTAGAGAGACTCTCCAGTTACTGGAGGATCAATGGCCTGATCAAAGCTAATGAGCGTGTTCTGGACCATGCCTCGGCATTTAAGCAAAACATTTTCCAATTTGAGCTGGTGTGTTTTATATTTCTGAGTATTTTTCTACCACTTCAATGCAGCCTTGCAGTTCTCTATTCATCTGAAAAGACAGTAACATCTATTAGCAGGCTCTTAAAACTTTGAGTAGTGTAATTAATCAAAGTAAATATTAAGCCATAGTAAACATTTTGTTATTTTGAAACAAAATAACAAAATGCTTGACCTCACAACGATATTGTGCAACTCTGACAATGATCAAAACCTGTAAAGTTTAATAAACAAGCCTGATATCACTGGTGGTATTCGATACTCTATACAAATCCTGTGTGAAGACCAAAACCAACAGCATGTTCCTCCATTATGATGAACATGGTCACTGTACTTTATACATACTGTATGTGTTAAGAAGGTCAGAGGTGTGATTAACTGGTAAAATGACTGATAGTCATCGGCTCACATGCCTTTTTTTTTAGCTTCACCTATTAGTCAAAATCACAAGGACATGTCACAGAAGTAGTCCAGCTAGGCAAGAGAGGGCTTTTGTCTGGACATTGTGACATGTCCTCTACTATATGATGCATTACGAAAACGAAGTAAATGATTCATTCTTGTGCACGCCGCTCATGTTGCCATTTTGGTTCTGATCCTTCTGTGTGATTGGTTAACAATAGGAACAATGCAGAGAAATGCCAGGAACTGTTTCAGTAAATTTTCATAGTGTCGGCCGGAGTGTAGAAGGTGTGTGAGGATTGTCTGAGCGGGCCAATGTTTTACAATTAAAGAAGCAGTAGAGTGTAAGACCCTGTGGTTCATTACTGCAGAGTCCACTCCTCATGCAGGAAGTGAGGGGGAACCGTCTCCTCTGAGCCGTTTTGTCTAATGCCAACCTCTTTGATTTAGGCAATGAGCCTGACATGGTTCACACTTACTAAACCATATTAGTCAGTTGACCTATGTTAGTCTTCACCTAACATGAGTTTAATTTTAATGCTAATGAAATTATGACATCTAACATTTCATTAAACTACTTTGCTTGACATTTGCATGACGGCTACTGAAAAACTTAGAAACAAGTTCAATAGAAAATGAGTGTAGTCTTCGGATAATGCAAAATACAAAGCTTTTGCTTCAAAGAGCTATTGACATTCTTGTGATAAAGGAGCCATTCAAAAAAAAAGAAAGAGTCTGATTCTTTTATGGCAATTTTGTGCAAGCAGTAGACTCCTAATCAACAGATTGGAGCTGGTCCTCGTGTGGACATGCCTGCAACAAATAGGACACTGATTGCTTGGTGACTTGGGAGAAGATGAGGGTCAGTGAGCCCTGGTTGTCATGGAAAGACAGGAGGTTTTGTTTTTAACCACAGGAGGGGCTGGAGGGGAGAGTGAAGATGGTGCAGCCACCTGTCAAAGCTACTACTATCTAGAATCATCAGGTAAGTCAAGTTAATGAAGATCTGTACCTGAACATGACTGAACAATAAAATATTTTCCTCACAGCGGCTCCTTAAATGCAGACATTGCTAAGATACTATAATGTAAGTGACACCCCAGGAAATATTTACAAAACTAGTGTATTCCACTATTGCTGAGTTTAAACTCATTCTGTTCTGTGAGTCTCTGTGGATATCAGCATTGGGATAAACAACAAAAGAAACCTACGGTTCATAAATTTAACATGAATTTCCCCCAGGAGACAGAATGTCAGACAGTAGGGACATGCCTGTGAGCAATAATATAGAATACACACGTTCCTGTCTGTGTAACTCTGTGGATATCACAAAGCCTTCCACAGTCTGATGGGGATAAACAGAAATCTGTGCTGTAGGTGAAAACGGCTGGGTGGCAGAAATATGATCGAACACATGTCCTGTCGTGCATGTGCAGTGATTAGGTCATAAATCTTTACGTTATGCTGATCTGAAATTTCTCATCTTTACTGGGACTAAGCCAGCTTTTAGTATTTTAAGATGCTATAAATGATTGTGTGACAGTGTTTTTGATCAAAGTACGGGTAATTTTTTCCTTTTATCTGACACAGAGAAAAGGATGACTAAAGACAGCAGGATGGCAGCAGTTTATCCAAAATCACTATCTTCTCTCTTGGGTAGGACTGTATATCAAAGGTTATTTCTGTTCTCTAATGTCTCTGCGGTTTGTTTTTTTTGTGTGTGTCACAAATCTGTTTTCAAGATATTTTCAAGACACTGCAAAGCTTTACACAAAGATTTCCATGCCTATGTACCACAACACACTGCAATATCAAACATGTTTTAAAGCTACAAACTGAGCCCCTTTCCTGTATTATTTGGCTTGGATCTTTTTCTTTCACTATCACATGAACACTCTTTAAAAAAAACAGAATTATAAGTTTGCCTCAGAAATGGGATGATAGATGAATGATTGCAACTCATGCTTGGCTTCAGAATAGGGGCCTGGCGGTAAATAAGATAAATGGGAGAATTTAACATGAATATATACTCTAAGGGGCTGCACGGTGGAGCAGTGGTTAGTGCTATTGCTTCGCAGAAAGAAGGTTCTGGGTTTGAACCCCAGCCGACCCGTGCCTTTGCGAGTAGAGTTTGCATGTTCTCCCTTTCCAAGTCCAAAGACATGCAGCTTAGGTTGACTGGAGACTCTAAATTGCCCGTAGGAGTGTGTGTAGTTGTCTGTCTCTGAGTGTCAGCCCTGTCGTAGACTGGCGACCTGTCCAGGGTGGACCCCACCCAGTATCAGCTGTTTTGCCATCTGAGCTCATCAGGCTCTGAAGACTTGTATTTACATGCTCAATACTCTAATTTACATGCTATATATAGTTTGAATTTTATTGGTTTTTATTGTCCAGGGTGTACCCAGCCTCTCGCCCAATGACACCTGGGAATGGCTCCAGCTGGGTAAAGCTATCATCCATACAGATTCAGAGTCAAATGAAATTTAAAAGTTAAAACTTTCTATTCTGATTAAAAACTAATTCTGAGAACACTGCAGCCTTGGTGTAGATAGATCATGCGCTCCTGGAGTCTGTTCTAGTTACAGTACACCTGTGGCTAGAGGTTGTTTGATGTGTCTTTGAAAAGATGTGAAGCTTTTACTTCCACCTTTCTGAGAAACTGCTGATTAAAATTCTCCCTGGACTTAGTTTGTGTAATTGCATGCAACAGATACTAAAACGTGAGATCATAAACAACATGATATGGTATTCATAAAATTGGTCTAATCTTATAAAATGTATATCCATTACTGTAACTAAATATTTTGACAAATCTTATTTACTGGCAGACACTGATGCCACTATTCATTACATTATTATGTACAATCGTTTCAAATCGTGGACAACCAGCAATAAAAGTCAAGCAATCAGTTGCTACATTTATTCTTATTTTGGACTTTGTTTTGCTCGAGGTGGAGTGCAGGATTTAAGGGTTGTTCCAGACAAACAGGAGGTGAAAAAGACAGCAGTCTGTCAAGTGATTTTCCCTGATTGTATTTAAATGGTAAGCCAAAATAAATAGTGTAACATTACTTTCAAACCAATAATAACAGGGAAGTAATGACTCACTCGGATCATTTATACACTATCGTCTGACAGTTGTGCACAGTCTGTCAATACTGTAGATAAAATCTGAGACAGCATAATGTTTCTGAGTCTGAGACAAATGCAAAACCACAGAAATATAAACCCTAATAGGAGATCTAAATGAGTCTCTTGATAGAGTGAACATAATAAGCAGTCCATCTAGTTTGCTAAAATGTTGTCATTAGCGATGCTGAATTCACTCTTAAACTTAATTAAACACAATATAACTGATGTACTGCAGTGCGTTTCATCTGGCTCTCAAGAGATTTAATCAACAGAATTAAAGGCCTATGACAAGATACTGATGTGCTTACTGAAATTTTACAAATGGCATAAAATATTGAGATGATGTCCCCAGAGGGTGGATGGATATATACAGTATATAAGCTCTTTTTTTGGGTGGTGAAATCATGTCATGTGTACTTTTCTCCTCAATAGCACACACATATTTTAAATCATTTAAAAAAAAATCTCTGCTTAAAATAACTCATATGCAGAGGTGATGTTTGCTGCTAGTGATGCCTGTTACCTACACACGTCTCTACTAAACTGCATTTGAGCTTTCGTGTGCTCGTCGTAAGCCAAACTGAGACCATGTGCTTTTGTCAGTGACTTGAATCTTACCTCTGTAAGACTGTGTGCCTGCTTCAGTAAATCCGCCCTCAGCCTGTCTGCCTGCCTCACATGGAAGGAGTTGCTTTGACTCTGGATGATGAACACTATCTCCCGCAGGTCTGGAAGAACACAAAGGACACAAAAGAGAGATGAGGGTGCTCATATACTGTGAATAGGATTGTGGCAATCGATGACCTTGTGAGAGCAAGGAAAAATAAGTGCTACAGTCTGACTAACTGAGGTGACTTTTGCTAATCTCCATTATTGCCCTGGTGATAATAACCAGCACATCAAAAGCTTAATTGGCTTGGGGAGAGAGTATGTAAATGTTACAGCCCAGACTGTGGTTCTTAATAAAAGATTAGCAGTGAGATGAGTCTTTCTCTGATGTGCTGTAACACCCAGAAGGTTGAACCAGCCCAGCTGTCCCCTTCTGGCTGAGCAACACAACTGCACTGTCAGTAAAATCTGGTATTGCTGCATATTAATGCCAAGGTTAACAGGGATCCACTAGCTCAATAATGTCTGTTTAAAAACTGTTAAACACAGGCTGGTTCAATGCTGATGACATGTTTAGACACCATCTTTGTCAACGAGCCTGCTAGCTGCAGTTCCTCTTCATGTGAAATCCATTTACAGGGCAGTAAATGTGACACAGTTCAGTGAAGAATGACTTTGGCTGTACAAACAAGTCCCCATAAACCCTGTTGCGCTCATGATCAGTACAATCAAAACTAGACTGAAGGACCAAAGGGGAAGGAATATAAAAAAACAACAACAAAAAACCTAATCTGTCATTTTGTTTTGGGCTCTGTACAATTATATTTGACAACTCCTAAGTCCTGGAAGATGTCCGTCCCATCCAAATGAAGTCTGCAGCACCTGGCTGGAATAACAGTGACAGCAAAAAGGATTTAGAGCTGAGAGGTGGGAGTCAATATCCAGGTGCAAAGCAGGAAAACAAGCAGAAGAGATGTCAGAGTCTTCCTGCTGTGATGGATAGTTCACAAACCTCCCCACAATGAGATGAGAAGTTTTTGTGTATACTTTGTATACTGTGTATACAAACACAACAGGCGTGCTTGCTTTGGACATTTTAATTAGCTACTTACTATAGGCATTTGTACAGAATATAGTCATTAAGGTGACATCCTGTCATAAATTATGATTACCAGAGGGACATTTTCCCAGCAAGCTTCACAATATCAGCCAAGTGTATTTTAGAGTTTGAAATCAAAAATAACAGCCAGAACTATCAGGTCTATAATCTTCACTTTGAAATTGTTGTGGAAAAGCAATACATGTTAAGAGGGGAAGGGTGCATGCTGACGAGGGCAGGATTAGATCGATTATCTCCTCTTCAATTAACCTACTTGAGCCTAGTCCCACTGTGGATACTGATATTAGCACCAGGGTCAGGGGTAGACAGTAAGTCAGAGTACAGTATCTATCTCAGATCTCTTTAATTAAGTGTTAGGGGATGTGTCACTCCTTTGCTCACTCATAACAATGATTCCATTGATCCTGGAGCCCTGGTTGGGGGTGGGGTGGGGTCTGGGCTCTTTGCTAACACTCAGCGTGTCCATCTCCCAACAGATCTAACCTCTGCGGGAGCTGAGCTTACAGAGTGAACCACCTCTAAATGTCCTTCTGCTGAGTTTGCTAAATGAATGACTGAGTGCATGTGTGTGTGCATCTGGTTTCACTTAAGGCATTGCATTTTAAGGCCCCTGGTGAGGCACCAGCCTCATGATACTGCACAGTATAGCAATAATGCCAGCTGTTTGTGACTGATGGAAAAATCAGATAAGCGGTTTGCCAATCCCTCACTGTAGATAATGTGCACTCTATGTCAAAGCAAAGGAGAATGAGTGGTAAAAAAAGAAACTAATTAAGACTGAATTCACTGGCCTCAGCTCCAGACTAATGGGATTCGATTAATCATCAAATAATGGGGAAAAAAGGGGAAAAAGAGAAATCCTGTTATAGTGCCCATCTTCCTCTGCATCCATTGTTCCTGTGTCCTTCTTCTTTCAGGTTAAAAAAGGAAACTACTTTTGTGGACTCTCTTGGCACTCACGGCAGATCATCCAGGATTACGAGTGCAATCAATACATCCAGCAGTATTTAATTATGAGTGAAAGATGTGAAAGAGTGCCACAAAGCACTTTAGCGGTGAGGTTATCCAGTGATGCTTCCAGGCTGAGAAAACACGAGTTTAACTAGAAAAAAAAAAAAACTAATTTGGATTTCTGAAGAAAACGTACAAGAACTGCAACAGCATTGTAAGACTAGTATTGGTGGACCGGTGAATATGCTGACCGCTTGGATGAGTGACAGCTATACAATATAGTTTTTGCTCTATTTTCTCCATGACTATATGCACCGTGCAAAGTTTAAGAGACACCAAGCGGGTGTGCACCTTTAAAAACATCTTAAAAAAGCATTTCTTTAGTTTTTCCTTTGATTTTTAAAAACAAAAAAAATAAAATTGTGATCTGTACACGCCATAGTTGTTTAAGCAAATTCCCACTGTTCCCATGGTGAATCAGACTGATATTTGCAGTTTTTCAGTGTCAACAACAACTGGACAAACTG